ATCTGCCCTGGTTAGTGCCTCAGGTGAGGAAGCATAATGAATAAAACCAATGCATTAAACTGGTGAGATTAAACAGAATGTACTTGTCTCATTTTTTGCTGATAGGTAAGAGAAAAAGGGCCATGATTTGCTGTGACTTTCTCTTAAGTTGGAGAACAGGCTTCAATACAAGGTATACTAGAAATGAAGAGCCCTAATTGCAGAAACAGTGAGGATAACTTAACAAAGAAATGCAGGAATGGCTTCTTACATGTCCTGTACTGGTCAAATAGTACTGGACATCAAGATAAGTAATTATTGTATCCTCCCAAGATCATAGCCATGAGGACACCTTGGACTCTTGTGACAAGCCTAGCTATGTCACAAAGCCTCTTAAACTACTTAGATGATTTGTGTGGTGACAGCCTACTTGGATGAAAAGTGACCTAGCCTAACAGGGGTAAAAGTTAAGACACCCATTGGTGGAGAAGTCAAGTGACATGCCCTTGGTCCTTGATTCAAGCTGGGTCAGAAATGGGTTTAGAATGGATATCTGTCTCCTGCCTCTCCCCTTGGTCAGGCCTCATGACCCTACCTTGCTTCCCAAAGACTGCTGGTTCCTTCATACTTTCAGTAGTATTTGCTAACCACACTGATTTTCCCTGATTACCAATCAGTTGTATAGTTCCTCGTACATTAAGGGTATAAAACCTATTGAGGCTAATACCTTAAGGTGGAATCCTCAGGTTGCTGGGATGTGAAAACCTCACATTGGTAGAGAACTCCATTAAAAGGAAATGGAAGAGAATATTTTAGAAAAGAGAAATTTGGCAAAAAAAAAAAAAAAAAAAAGAATAATAATAATAATAAAAAAATAAATAAATAAAATCAGAAGAGGATAAATGTGAGGAAGTCTTGCCTCCAAGGGTTAAAGTATCAGACATTTGATCCAGAAGATGTATTGATTTGTAGGAAGGAAAGATAGCTAGAAAGGAAAGTCATGACTTGCAACCCAGTTAGGAGAGCTTGTACAGTAAAAAGAAAGATTTACAGGGATGCTTGGAGAACAACAGCTCAGTTTTACAACTGTAGATGCATCCATAATCATTCTCATAAGGACAAATTTAGAGAAGGGAAACATTACTTGTTTCTTTCTTTAGTTTGTTTGCTGTTGATATTTTGCTCTATACTCTACATTTACCAGTTTTAGTTGAATCATAATTTTGAACTGATTAAGTTTGTGTGCATTAAGGTTTTGCTTCTGTATCAAGAATATCATGGCTATTTTTATAATAAAGTTTTTTTTTTTTCATTATACATCTTTTTTAGCACAACCAAAAGTGTTGCAAAAATACTTCTCTCTTGCAGAAGCAGCCCAGACTTCGGTAAAGCAGCCCAAACCACAGCCACTATTTGAGAGCATCACAACATTGGGAATCTCGTATTTACACATAAGTCCAAAACTAAGGATATGTTACTTCATTTCCATACTGTTTTTTATGTCCTTTATGGGAGATAGTGTAGAGGTTCCCCACCTACAGCTTTTAACGGGCAAGAAAAGTACTCTTAATCAGGTGAGTGGTTGAGATGCATAATGTATTGAAAATAATTTTGGTATAATACTTGTATTTTATTGGTGGTGTTTGTTTTTAGTGTTTGTCTGAACTGACAGCCAATGGACACCTGTGGCTTTAAGGGTGGTTAGTAGTGGATGAATGGGTTGAGTTTTTATTCATGTTTTTCAAAATATGTGCAAAAGCTTATAGCTGGAAAACAATTTTTTCCTTGAAATGGTGTCATTGTTGTCATTATTTCCTACAGGTTTTTGTGAAACTCGGATGGGGATGGACTTTCTCCATTATAGGCATTTTCAGTCTTTTTTCTCTTCTAATTCACAAAGACTGGATCAAAAGGATGAAGTGCATTGCTGTACGTTTGGCTATCACAACATTCTTTTTTTTCATATGGTGCTCGGTATGTATTATATTTTTCTCTTAATGTATTTCACAACAGTATTCACTACAGGTGAATAATAGTTATATAATAGTAATAATAATAATAATAATAATAATAATAATAATAATAATAATAATAAGCTATACCATGCAAACTTTTCAGTGATTCAGACAACCCTTTCGTCCCCCCACCACTTTTGATAATGAATTCATCCAATTTACACCAAATTTACAAAGTCATCTTAGAAAATTGAGATTCTTCTAACTTCAAAATTCATAATCATATAGTAAAGAAGCATTTACTTGGGTTAACAACTCATATCATTTAAGTATATGAATTGTGGTTAACAAGTATTAACACAATACAAATATATGTTAAATACAGTTATCTCTTCTTTCCCCAGATCACCTTTCCTACCATTGAAAGGTATACTGGCTACTGTATTCACAACGGTATTTCATTCTCCTTCGCCAAAAGAGAATGCGTTAAACGGCCAGAACATGAGTATGTCTCCTTCGATATCTCCGGCCATTCCTTTCTGCTGACCTACTGCATTATGATCATAATTGAAGAGAGCAAAGAGATGTTATACTTTCTTCAGCTCAGTAGATATTTCCGAGGAGCTCCTCCCTTAGAAGGAAACGAATCTCAGGTTCTAGACAAGGAGGTGAAGAACCTAGAAAGTGTATTTAAAATAATGTCTCCATTGATTATCCTAGCTTTTATGGCCATGGTGGCAATTTCTCTGCTCTGGGATTTGATGTTGATTGTAACAACCATTTATTACCATTCATTGTTGGAAAAGTTACTTGGCACAGTGCTTTCTCTGTGCATGTGGTATATTTTATACAAGAGAATCTTTTTTGTTTTGCCTGAAATATTGTAATAAAGTTTATATAGAAAGCCTATAAAGAGTACAAGAAGAAATGTTAAATTTTGCAGTCTTTAATTTAGTAATTGTCTTTCTTTTGGTAATATCCATCTTTCTTCCATTGGATATGAGAGGAACTAGTAATTTTTAACAAGAATATATATTTATTTGTATATATTGTGTGGAAGTGTTTTCATTTGTAAGTATGATAAATCATACTATGGTAATCAGAAAAGTTCTTTTGCAAAACTAAATAGCTGTAATACCAAGAATTTCTGCTTATTTTATTGATAAACAGATGTATTTTTTCATTCTATCTAAAGCAAGGGTCACTAGTCTTCTCTGTCCTGGGATCCTTAGACAGCTTCGCCAAAGTCAGGTCGGTTGACCAATCAAAAGCTGCAGCCGGCCAGACTTTGGAGAGGCTGTCTAGGGATCTCAGGACGGAGAAGACCAGTGTGACCTTAGCTGAAAATGACTCTTTGTTTAAGCTATTCATTTAAAATGGAAGCTATGCAACTATTCTGTAAGCCTTTTGTATTGCAGAGAGGACATATATTTTTAGCTTGAATACATTTAGTGCTCAAATAAATTTTCTCACATTTCATTGGCATGATGCTCATCTTAATCAACCGGGGACAAAGAGCAGCTTCAACTTCAACTACCAGAGAGAGAGAGATAATATGAGAGAGAGAGATAATATGAGAGAGAGAGAGATAATATGAGAGAGAGAGAGATAATATGAGAGAGAGAGAGATAATATGAGAGAGAGAGAGATAATATGAGAGAGAGAGAGAGAGAGAGAGAGAGAGAGAGAGAGAGAGAGAGAGAGAGAGAGAGAGAGAGAGAGAATATGAGAGACAGACACAGAGAGAATGAGAGAGAGGGGGAACAATGAGAGAGAACAATGAGAGAGAGGGGGAACAATGAGAGAGAGGGGAACAATGAGAGAGAGGAAACAATGAGAGAGAGGGAACAGAGAGAGAGAGGGAGAGAGAGAGAGAGAGAGAGAGAATATGAGAGACAGACAGACAGAGAGAATGGGAGAGAGGGGGAACAATGGGAGAGAGAGGGAACAATGAGAGAGAGGGGGAACAATGAGAGAGAGGGGGAACAATGAGAGAAACAGGGAACAGAGAGAGAGAGAGGGAAACAGAGAGAGAGAGAGAGGGAAACAAAAGAGAGAGAGAAAGGGAAAGAGAGAGAGAGAGAAAGGGAAACAGAGAGAGAGAGAGAGAGAGAGAGAGGAGGGAGTGGGGAGAGAAAACGAAAGGGAGGAAGGCATACTTCTAGCCGCCTCTATTAGGTTCCAAGTAGTTCCAAAGAGGACTAAAAAAGTGATTTTGCTTTTACATGCACATCTTCAGAATTTAATGGATGCCACATTTGGATTCACATAGCATGTTTATGAAACTCTTGTAATTAACAACCTCCCCCCACCCCTACTCCAGAGATGAAAACTCAACAAAACATCCTCACTAACTCTACATCCCAGAATCATGGCACTTGACATGCATATCGAACAAATGCCCATTAACAGACAGACAATAATGACAAACCAGCACAACTAATCACAACCCGTGTCTCTATAGGTATATGGAATTTGCCATAACTCAGCTTCCAGAACAATCCTTCCAACTGACATACAGACATACCAGAAAAGAAAACTTTCTCCGAGACCAAACATACCTCTGCAGACTAACGCAATAGGCATACAGGATCAAAACAAGCACAGAAAATACACAAAGTTCCTTCCAGACCATGCAAGTAGACCAAAACAGTGGACAAAAAAAAATACCCAAACAAAATAAAAAATACAGAACTTCCTCCCACACCACATACATCTCCCATACCAAAACACCACAATCAAACCGATAAACGAAGTTCTTTCCAGACAACGCAAACTTCTGTGAGACCAAAGCAACAGAAGAAAATAAAAACACCCGAACAAAAATTGAAATGCAGAACTTCCTTCCAGGCCACGCAAACCTGTCAGACTACAATGAAAAAGGAAAGAGAGAAACCACGAAAGTTTCTGTCAAGAGCTGGTAATAACAATGTAGGCCGACAGAGGTGACTACCCTGAAAAAAAGATGAAAGACATCACTAGACGTGCCCCTTCCTTCGCCTCAGACTCGTCGAGGTACCATCTAACACGGGCAGTTAATGAGGAGAATTCAGAGGTCCATTAAGCATACGTTAGAATCGACTGAAAATAGATGATAAGCGTGTATATTAGACTTTACTGAAGACTTGGATCAGATCTGCAGCTTAGTTTCCAGCTGTGTGTAATCTCAAATATCTCATGAAGGAATTTAAAAATCTAAACTCAAAATGCGTAATTTTTACCTCTCGCCGAATAGGCTGGCGTGAATCTCATTTTTCCGTGAACAACCGCTATGGGAGGGTACTTTTAAACGAAAGCCCAGGTAAGAGATGAGTGCTCGATGTGGGTGTGATCCTAATCCCAGTTTTATAGTTCCCTGGTGTCACAAACCAGTTATGTTGTTCTAGGTCTTATTAAGAAAGAAAACTAACATATCCTAGAAATAAAAAAAACACGAAATTGGCGAGAATGACACGGGCATCATATCAGGAAATCAATAGTTTGCGAGAGATGAAATTTCGAGGCTAGATAGCTATTTTTGCTAACATTAGTCCTTTATTCAATACTCGAAATACATGGTATTGCCAATGGATGCTCACAGAACAACACACTCTTCTGGTAAGGTGGAGGTAGGTACACAATTTACACGCTTTGGGAGTCTTGACTATTGATCGTTTTTGCGGGCATATCGAGCACTCACTTGTACATGAATCAAGATGTTTCGTCTTATTTAATATAGGAGACTTATTAGTGTGGTTGTTCAATTGATGCACTTTCGCCTTCGAGCACACGCTACATGGCTCTTGTGTCTGAGAGCGTAGGCACTCTTCGTGTTATGACACGCATTAGATTATCAAGTCAGCTCTCTTCCACATTTTTATATTCGCCTCACACGTCACGAGTCGCTCTGCATTCATACTCATTCTTGAAGAGCTTAAACCAGGGATTAGTGTTACTGATCCTGTGCTATAGGGCGCACGAGAGTGTCACAGGTCGCTTTAGATGCAGTTCAGGGAGTGCAAGAAGGCGAAAGAGGAAAAAGCAAAGCATGGGATTAAAGTGGTATAGGAGAAAATATTGCACATGTCGGCACCTAAGAAGGATAAAAGGCGCTTGTCATAACAGAATTCATCGCAACCGATTTCAATGAATTCAAATACAGGTGGAAGATTCTAATCACACATAGATCTTGGTGTGAGTTTCTAAACACGCTCGCGTGTATATGTGGTTACCACATTGAGAAAGCCTTGCTCATGGATGAGGAGGCCATACTGTATGTCAGTCTACATCAATACGGTTTTGGATATATCGCTGTGTTTATATGGTAGAATCTGTCGCTTGGCACTCTAACTATGAGGTATAGGACTCTTGCTTCGATGCATTTGTTTGAGGTTCTGTATAAGTGCGATGGATCGAGATCTATTGCGCATATCATGCTAGTATCTTCTTCTCTCGTTCTTTGTTCTCATCATTTAACCTCCTGTTTATTTCTCAGTTCACTTCTCTCCTTCCCTTCTTGTTCGCATGGGAAGGTTTCTCTGTCCTCCAACTCGTCTGTCTTCTGTCCTCGTTCAAATTTGCCCTCCCTCTCTCTCTCTTCTTCTGTGTGCTCGCTCTCTATGCTGGTGTACACATGCATCCTTTTCTGTCCTCTCTCTCGTCGTTCGAATAATCAGTCAGTCTCTCATCTCGTCTTCTCTCTCTCTATCTACAATCTGTTTCATTGTTAACTTCGTTTTAAGCTGCGAGCTGTGACTTGATGCTATGGTTCGAGGACTTAATAGGAAAATACATATAGCTATCTATGCTAGTAATCAGACATATTATGTTTATTATATTACTCATTATAGATAAATATATTATGTGTATTGAGATAGAAGATAAGACAGTAAATTTATAAATGCAAGATTCATGGAATCCAGTACTAAGGACTTGCTTTGATACTTTTAAAGTCATGTATGAGGATAAGAATCTCAGAGTTGCAGCGAGATGTCGTATCATATTGATCATTCTCACTTTATATCTTATTTTATTTGTTGTTTATAATGTTTATCTAATTTAGAAATCTAGTAAGTTCGTTGTTTTAGAGAGGGGAGCGCTGAACACTTAGACAGATAATTTGCCACTCAGATGTGTGCTCAAAGGCGGATATAAGGGAACATATTACTCTATTGTTTCAAAAGAATAATCTTACGTTCGATTGTTGAACGAATTATCAGGCAAAATATTATCTCGAAGGAATATTAGTCACGTGAAGTCTTCCAAAGCCCTAATTGTGATACTACGGAAAGTCATGACATCATCAAATTACAATGTCCGCATTTCCATAACAAGTATAATGGAGAAGGGTTGATGCATGTGTTCCTCGCTCAACTCTCAATATTCACGCCTCACACGATTATGAAAACCTTCCTCACATGTTTATTTACGTCAATATGATTCACTTATACATACATGCATTGACTCCACGCATCTACAATAATAAACACGGTCTAGCTCTCAACTCACTAGTTCATCACGTCGTCCACACTGATTATCATCAAATTACTTGCACGCTTCACAGTGGTGAACTATGAACAGCCCCTGACCGCAGCTCTCTACACATCGAAAGGTCTTACTCGGACTTGCGCGGCGCGATTAGGAAGCGTGGCGCAACATGCTATAGCATATGACTCGTTCATTTGTATGGCACCATAGGACTGAATGAGATGCCGTTACACTGTGACCACAGGGTGGAGTGGGTGCTCGGAATATGTGAAAAGGAATTCTTTCGAAAACTAGTCGAGGCAACTGGAAGCGCATTCGCACACAATAACACATATGCACTGCCACCCACCTCGTCTTCGCTTGAGACAATTAGCAGTCAGACCCACTTACTCGATTCAGAGCTAATATACCTGCGAAACATGAGATACACTGCAATATATTTCTGCTCCAGTTCTCATAGGGGAGACCTGGTTCTCGCACAGACAGAGGCCTCGTTTGGGTCTTCTTGGTCTGCTGCAATACTCAGAAAAAGTTTGACATCACAAACCGACTTACACACTACTCACTACCACACACGCCACACACCACACACACACCGGGTTAATTGGGTTCACAACATCATGTATCACTACACAAAGTACACAACACATCTATCTAGTTAATACTATCCACACACAAGAGCTAGCAACACACACACCACAATGCGACACAATATTTTTTTTCCTTCTCTTCATTTTCGCTACTATTCACACACACAACACACATCTTATCTCTATCTATCTTTCTTTTTTTCCCCCCATAATTTTTTATTTTGGGACTCGTTTATTTCTTTCGACAGAGTACACACAGTTTTTATATCATTTTTTAGATTTACTTGTAGATATATTCTGTACATTGTTTGGTCAGGTTTTTATAGATCCAATAACCACAGTCCAGCATATATATCACATACACAAACACACAACACACAGACACACACCACATGTACAATGTATTTATTTACACCACTGGTAGGGCTA